CCATCCGTCCGGGTTTCCCCGGATTTGTCCTAGTTTATGAGGCGTCTGGGGAGCGTCCGGGCGGGGTTTCATTTGTAGTCCGGGTTTAAAAATTTCCTGTTTTGGGTCGCCAATTAATCCGTCAATTTAAATGTCTTTGAAAATAAATAGATCTTTTCTCTCTCAAAAATCAGCTCTGCCAATGGAGAGTATTCCTAGGAATTATTCAACCGGATGCCAGTGGCCAAATTTCTCCACAGTACCACACACCGCAGAGAAGTTTAACGCCCACCATCTGGACGCTTGAAGTTCGAGCACCATGTGTTCCTTTCTTTTGCGTACCAGCAAGATCTGGAGTGAACTTTCCTCAGTATTTTTTTCTTATAGCTATGATATGGTAATCTTAAAAAGGCGAATGAACCTTTTCGTTCAGACCCGGCAACGCATGAGTGGCCCTTGGTGCTGCAAGTTTCCATGTACAGCAGTGACCACTTATTATGAGGAGGACTGCTAGCTCTTTTGCCTACATCTACATAAAAAAAGTTGATTTGTGACATTTTTAACTGTTTTTTTATTGGTCTGTCCGGGGTTATCACGCGTCTTGTCCTGGTTGCCACATTTTAGACATGGCAGCCCTACTTTTAGGCGATTCTCACACTTACACGCGTAGCGCGGCACTGCGTGTTCTTGTGTTACGTTGCTTGCAAGTAAGTTCTTCTTATCCCTTTCTATTGAAACAACACGCGTAGTGCATCACACCGAAAATGCATTCGCGCAGTGTTGCAGATCCTTGTGCAGATCACATGTGCAGAGAAACACGCAGCCATTTCGTTCGGCTATCCGTCTCTTGCGGAGAGTTACAAAATTACGGATACCTACTTTGTAACAAATATTCTATTTCCTTTCATCGAATCGCACTCAAATCACAACGATACTTAAAAGTTTTTACATCAATTATCGTCTTATTTTTTTTTATTCAAAGTATTTCTGTACCCAATATCTGCTGAAAACACTATTTCTTCTAATTTTTATAACTACATCATCCTGAATAAGTTCTGCAATAATAACATTAATCTAAAGAAAATATAACTAGAAAAAAATTTCCTTTCAAAATGTTTAATACTTGTAAAAGTATTAATTTGTCATTGTGGGTTACCTACAATGCGAAGAAATGGCGCTGCCTTGCAGCTTAAGGATGGCTAGAAGAATTTCGACGCGGCTGTCAGGGCCGCGGTAGCATTATTGGTCAGTGCATTTGGATTGCGAAGGGTGCGGGTTCGAGTCCCGTCTGCTGCCTGGTTAGCGTGGAATTTTTTCTAGTTATATTTTCTTTAGATTAAATAATCAAGCAGTTACATGGTTAAAAAAAGAAAAAACATTTCTTTAAAATAATAACCTGCAATGTACTACCGCAATTTGCTGTGAAATTATAGGCCTCTGGGCCAAAAACATTGCAGCCCTGTACTGCAGTGAAATCGGCATGATAATGCAAATCTGCACATCCGCAAGCGGACGCAGATCTGCACCCTCAGCGTAGTGCGGGGCAGTCTGAGAATCGCCTTATTCTTAAGACTATTTTGTTTTCATTCTATACAAAATTATATTTATTATTATCATATATCAGAAATATTGAAAGTGCCTCAAAAATTACGTCTTGAAGAGTTTAAAGAATGAAAAGAAAAATAATATCATAAGCACTCATCTACTTTTTATATTTTTTGTTATCTATCTTATTTTACTTTTAAATTAAAGCTTTTGGCACAAGTTAGGCTGCGCAGCAAGCAACAAGTGCTGCCACCTATGATACGTATGCTGAGATTTTATGCGAGTGTTGCCGATAGAAAAAAATAAGTGTCAGTGGTAGTTTTGTCAAAAAATCTGTTTAATAATCAGATTTATGAAAAACATACTTTTATGAAAATTTGTTTGCAAATACTAAATAAATATATATATTTATTTATGTGAGTCGGTCTCGCCCGCAAAGGTTTCCAAACCAAATTTGGAGTTTTAATCCCATGACAGTCCGGTTATTTGAATTTTTTAGCGTTCCGTACCTCAAAAGAACGGGTCCATTTCCTTGAAGCTGTGAAAAAATCAAATTTAACAAATAGATACGGCCGTATATATTGAGTACCTACCTAAAAAAATATGGAACCCTCGGTGGGCGAGTCCGATTCGCATTGACCTTTTTTTTATTTATTTGTATTTAATACTTTTTACTGACCACAGTTACTTTGTACAGTCGAAGATGAAATGTTTGTTATCGAGTGGTACGCCTTCATTTTTTACGTTAAATATTTTGTTGTTTTTTAGAATTTGTTATTACAAACAATCTACATTTAACATATACTATGAGTTATAATTTTTATTATTTTTAAAGCATGTAACTGCTTGATGTCTAAATCTAAAGAAAATATTACTAGAAAAAAATCCACGCAGACCAGGTCCAGGTCCAGGTCCCGTCGGCTGCCTGGTCCGCGTGGAATTTTTTCTAGTTATATTTTCTTTAGATTTAAACATCAAGCAGTTACATGCTTTAAAAATTATAACTATAATTGTTATTTCTTCTTTCAAATGTTTAATACTTGTAAAAGTAGTCATTTGACATTGTGGGTTACGTATAATGCGAAGAGATGGCGCTGCATTGTAGCTTAAGAATGGCTAGAAGAATTTCTACGCGGTCCGTGAGGGCTGCGGTAGCATAATTGGTCAGTGCATTCGCCCGGATTGCGAAGGGTGTGGGGTCGTATCCCGTCTGCTGCCTGGTCTGCGTGGATTTTTTTCTAGTTATATTTTCTTTATATACTATGAGCTTAATATATAAAATGTCTTCGAATTTTCCACGTGCTATCACAACGCACAGCCAAATATTAAGTCTTGATTTTCATAACTAACATAACAAGGGTTCAGGGTTAAAATTTTAATGCACATTAAAGTGCATAAAATCATTTTGTTTAAAGGTAAAACTTTTATTACAGCACCTCAAATATTTTCGTCTATCAAGCGTATATCACATTACAGCTGGCCGTGGAGTAGGGGTAGAGCAGGGGGAGGGGGGCATCTCTGTTACAAATAAAGAAGCGCTCTTTATTACTTTTCAATAATTTCTTGATAATAAAACTCAATTTCACAAATAATGTTGTATATCAAGAGCATATAATTGTGTTATGCTACGGCGATTGAAACGATTACAGCACCATCTAACGAACATTAGCCTTACTATTCCTTGAGACTAAATATATAAATTCTTAGTGCACAAATTGATAGCGTGATTTAGCAAATTGTAACGCCTACTAACTGTGATTCATAAAACTACAATTTAAGAAATTACAACTTATATATGTAATAGTAACTGCGTAATAGAAGTAGGACGAATTATCGCAATAACGCATCAGATATTGTCGAAGATCGATAATAACGTGCCTATGGGAGAGGCCGTAAACTATGATGACGTTGATACAGCAGTTGTCCATGTCCTTTATATTTGGACATCCTGACTAATATTGATTTTACATTATCATTTTCATTTTCCCATTATTAACTTAAGAATAAAACGCGATATTAAAACCCTGAATTAATCGAATAATTTTCCGAAAATTTTAAATTAAAGGAACTACGATCCGAAAACAGTTGGAAGCTATGTAAAACACTTAAAGTTTCACTTGAATCGTGTTTTTATATCACTGCACCTTTTTTTGCATTTCTATGACAAGCAATAAGTGTACCTTAATATTTTTTGCGTGGTAGGTGTACCTACAGAGCAATGTAGGGGTTGAGTTAGTGGCTGTGTTCCAGAGATGAATTTTGTAAGTTTTGCATTTGTGTTAAATCAGTTTGTTCTGTGTTTTTTATTTTGTAAATAATTGTTTTTTCCAGTTTAGACGACGAACTCAATAAAGTTTAAGGTTCACTTTCTTGACATTTTTTGCAGTTTGATATTTCCCCCTGTGCCACTACAGGGGGTCACGTTTCATTTCCCTTCGCAAAGGTCACCTACAATGACTTAGTCTTTTTTGTCTTGGTAGAGAACCTTGCACCTTCCCTAGGCATCCTTACAAAAAGCCCTGTAAAGTTTTCTCATATCTACTTCTTGCTTAATATAAAAAATCCAGTCAGCAAGATAAGATTTTTTCACTATTATTTCAGCCGTACGATGGGTACTACTATGCATATTTTGCATATGCCCTCAAGGGTCGCTGAGCCTTCTTGTGAGACCCGCAGTAAACTACGGCTTTGAGACACTGATGCAATTTGGACGTGAAGATTTTACGCAATTTCCAGAACCTAGCTCATCCGAGCTGGATTTGTCAAAACATCACTTTTTCGAAGTAGCGGACTTATCAAACTGGACTTTTTGTCCCAGATATATGAATGGTCAATATAAGTATGATGTATACATTATATAATGTAGTACGATATATGAATAAGAGTGTAGCGTTTTCAATTTTAAATAGATCGGGTGCTCTTGGATATTCGAATTTATTTTGTCTTATTCAAGACCTACTCCTTGGGAAGCACTACTTAAACCTACTTGCGTCGTGTTCAGATCTTGCAAAGTCTTTTTTTTATGAATGTGAAGCGAATGTATTGAAAGATAAGATTTTATGCCGCCACCCTCACAATGCTTGAGTTGAGGCTGCCCCTTATTAATTAATTAATTATTATATAGAAGTGTACTTTAAAACACCGCCTTTTACGTCGTTACTTTTTAATAACAAAAACTCACTTTGTTTATAGTTTAGAAAGCATTTTTTTCTGAGGTGGATACTGGTAAAAAACATTGCCAACAATGATAAAATTCTATCTGCCTTAGCGGAGTGACCGGAATTCACTCTAAATATTTGTCATAATACGCTGTTCTTCATAAAAATATCAGTGATTATATAGTTCTTTTAATTAATGATATCAATACTACCTATATACCTATTTTTTATATGTAATTTATAAAAACATTTTAGGATTTTAGTAGAAAGTAGTAGTTTTTGTTTATTTAATGCTAGCAACATTATTATAATTGACCGCCACCCGTGAGCAAATTGTTCGCTCGATCTCGCTCTCTCGGTGTCGATCGAGTCCGGTTGTGGAAGCCATTTTATTCTCGTGAATGTGACAAAGTATTTTTGGACTTTTTCGTTTACTTATCGTGTCAATGTGTGCCTGTAACCAAAAGCAATTGTGACGGGTGTAAAGTGTTGAAAAATTGAGAATGTCTGTGTTTAAAATCGGATTGTGTTGACCTGCCCTGTTTCTTACTCGGTCACACCAGGCAGGCATCGATTAGTGCAGCAAGCCTCTACAAATCGGGTCTGGACTAATTTGTGGTGTGCGCCATGGGCAATAATGCTGCCACCGCTAATAAGAAAGTGGACGCCGCCGAAAGCGTCAAAGAGTTCCTTGACCAGGCCAAGGAGGATTTCGAGGAGAAATGGAAGAAGAATCCTACCAACACCGCCGGATTGAACGACTTCGAACGAATAAAAACGCTTGGCACTGGTTCATTCGGCCGAGTCATGATAGTCCAACATAAGCCCACGAAAGAATATTACGCGATGAAAATATTAGATAAGCAAAAAGTCGTAAAATTAAAGCAAGTCGAGCATACATTGAATGAGAAACGTATTTTACAGGCTATCAACTTTCCCTTTTTGGTGAGCCTCAAGTTCCATTTCAAGGATAACTCAAACCTGTATATGGTTTTGGAATATGTTCCAGGTGGTGAGATGTTCTCACATTTACGAAAAGTGGGTCGGTTCTCGGAGCCCCATTCGCGTTTTTACGCGGCGCAGATTGTTCTCGCCTTCGAATACCTACACTACCTTGATCTCATCTATCGAGATCTTAAGCCTGAAAACTTGCTTATCGATTCGCAGGGCTACCTCAAAGTCACTGATTTTGGTTTTGCCAAACGTGTTAAGGGTCGTACGTGGACTTTATGTGGCACTCCTGAATACCTAGCTCCTGAAATTATTCTTTCAAAAGGTTACAATAAAGCAGTAGACTGGTGGGCGCTCGGCGTTCTGGTCTACGAAATGGCTGCTGGTTATCCGCCGTTCTTCGCAGACCAGCCCATCCAAATATATGAAAAAATTGTATCTGGAAAGGTCCGTTTCCCTTCGCACTTCGGTTCGGATCTGAAAGACCTCCTCCGCAATTTATTGCAGGTAGATTTGACTAAACGATATGGCAATCTGAAGGCGGGCGTCAATGACATAAAAGGTCACAAGTGGTTTGCTAGCACAGACTGGATTGCAGTTTTCCAAAAGAAGATAGAAGCACCATTTATACCACGCTGCAAGGGCCCTGGTGATACCAGCAACTTTGATGACTATGAGGAGGAGGCATTACGTATCTCATCAACTGAGAAGTGTGCAAAGGAGTTCGCTGAGTTCTGAGCGAATAGCTGGTGCCTGCGAGCGGACACTACCGTGAGTAGGTGTTTTGTATTAGTGAATCTTCCGTGACACTATGGTCATGGAACGGTGATGTGTGCGTCTGTCTTCTGGCAGCATAGGGTGATAATAATAGACGCTGAAGCGCACCCTTGCTGGAATAGCAGACGAAATAAGTTCAAAGTGTAAGCAAGATGGTAGTTGAATTGGTTTCCAATGTTTTGGTGGCGTTCATTTGCTTTGTGCCCTATCAAGTAACATAGAGCAGATAGAGGAACTTCAAGGGGTCCTTGTCCTGGTGATATTTCCATGATGTGTGTCATTTCATCTGATTATCCAAACAACAGCAATCACAACTGGTTTTCATTGTTGTTATTTTTTTCACCTATATTTGAATGTGTGCTTACAGCTTAAATTATTATATTAAGTTTATAAAATCAAATTGCAAACTTTTGTATAATATTATGATGTAAAAAAAATATATTGCTTTTTTATGAATTCACAATCATGTATTTCAAATGACTTTATCATAACATCACTAAACCATCAACTTATAGCTATTTTGATCACTAATTTATTAGTTTAATCAAAGGATTTCCCAAAACTTTTCTTGATGGATTGTTATTATTATAGTTTTTAATTGATTGACATTTTGTTATTTGATTTATTTATAGTTAAATGTGTCAGTTGATATTTTACATAGTTATGGAACTGTAATTACATCAGATTATTGAAGAGATTAATTTATTGTAACTATATAAACATGTAGTTGTGTTCATTTGTGCAATTTGACTTATGTGTTCGTGATCTGATGTGGGGTTTCATTTGGATTTAAATGTTATTTGTCTTAGTTCCTTATTTTGTAGGTTTAAATGTACTTTTCATTGTGAAATCTGAATATTATCAAATTTTATCTATTTTTAATTATGTCGGCAGCCAGTCTCGCACATAAACTAAAATGCTGAAATATAAACTTATTGTTAGCATCAGTTTTTTAAAAGCAATAAATAAAAAACAATTGTTTTACATATTCTAACCATAACTGAAGCGATATCACTGTCTCGCATCTATAAAGTTACCTATGAATTAATATGTCAAATTCAGCACAAAATAAACCATGAGAGATTTTTTATATTGACATGTACGTTTTCAGCTATGGTAGAATTATGTAAAAAACCTAGTAGTAAATCTTTAATAATGCCAGTTTGGCTATATCTTGTCTGAGACTGATGTTACCAATAAGTGTATAGTGTGAATGAGGTTATGCAAATATACAGCCCCACCTGAAGAGCAATCAGTACAGCAGTGGTAACTGGCAATGTTTACTATAAAGTTTGTTAGCTATTAGATGTAGGATTTTGAATCCAGGCTGTACAAATAAATATCTAGTTATTTGTAGTGCATTTTACATTGTGGAAAACATTGTGCGCATCTGTGGTAATAGTCATTAGTCTGGTTTATCCTGGGATGGCTACTTAACTCAGCACACAAATGTTTCTTTAGACAAACATGCGACTGAAAATATTTGTCATTTATTTGCACAGACTCCTGTCAGTGTTTCAATGATTGAAAATTAAAATCCATATCAAATGAATTACAATACATAAATGTTGTCCATACATAGCAAATGTAATTACCTAATTATAATATTTATTTTCTGTAAAAGGAATGTGATGAAATTTTGATGATTTAGAATTGATTATGACATTTTCTATATTTTTACCTAAAACTAAATAGATCATTGGTATTATAATTTGTTTATAGTATATATTACTAAATTGGACTACTGCCTGTAATGTAATGTATTTATTACCATTGCTTACTTCTACTAAACTTACAAACAAGCACTAAATTAATAATTGTGAAACAATGTCTATGTGGTGAACAAATGATTTTTTATAATCATAAATATAAAATATAACTTTATTAATTTACGGTGCCATAAATATGTTCTTGGGAATGGACCTTATTTATAAATATTTAGTTTGTAGCTTATATTTGTTTCGGGAATTCTACTAGATTTGTTAGTTCAATATATATACCGCACTGATGTTGTCGCATTTCCGCAGTATTAATTTTATGCACCAATTAGTGAGACTAAGGACTTGAAGTATCAAATCTAATCCTTGCAAGTAACTAGTCACTTCTAAGTTATTCTTTTTGTAAATGCGACGTTGGCTGTGTTTAACAGCTAAGTGTCTAAGGTTAGTGTAGGAAATAGATTGCATAGGTTTACTTGGTTTCTTTGAACCACTAGTAGAATTTAATCTCTTGTAAACTGTCATGTCCTGTTATAGAATTACAACATTAAGTTCATTGTTATATTCATCGTTGAGAGATGCAACTCTTTATGAACAGGGTTAGTGTGGATTCGAAAACTATTTCTAAAATCTTGGTTAGTTGTTTAAGTAAGAGTATGAACATTTCACATTCACCAATGGACATTGTTTCATTTAGTGCAACAGAAGCATTTCAGCATCGCGTTTATCAATGCGTGTGTCTACGCGGAGGATTTAGTCGTCTCAATTTGTAATGGTTATTTTTAAATAGTAAGAGTAATAAGGATTTCTGATGTGTACCCTTCGTTACTATTATCATTGTACATATATATTTAGAGTGATTGTGCCCCGGTATTTAGGAGATTCGATATCAGTTTGATATCCGCATGACTTTCATTCCAGTAGCTTCTCAACTTGCTCATCAACACAATATTGACTTTCTAATGTGAACATTTTAAAGCCATTTTGGATATTATAAACATTAGTGTGACAGTATGTGTACTTGCGAAACGAAGATGAAGTCTTTTTGTATCTGTGCGTATTAATATTAAAATGTTCACGTCTAGATCTATTATATCGAGTGCCTATAGCATTGAAAGTTCAAGTGTAAAAAGTCAGTTAATTTCAGTAATTATTTGTCACCATGTATTGATCTTCCATAAAATTACGATGAAATTAAAAATATCGATGTAACAGTAAACATTTGTTTTAATTCCTAGGTATTAAGTGAGATATTTGCTTATTATAGTTAAGAGTGTGCGGTAATGGTAATAATGCGTTTGTTGGCTTACGTTATGCTATATTCGTAATACTATAAGTAGGGAGGTCGGAGAAATTTGGCACCTTTAGCCGTATAAGCACACACGTTATCTAAACAGCTGTCTTGTTCTGTATCACGTTTGGCGGAGCACGGCGGCTGCACGTGCCCGCTCGTGGGTTAATACGTGGCTTCCTAATAAAGAGAAACACCGGCGTCCGTCATATTGCCCCTGCCAAGCCAACACATACAAATAAAAATGAATTGTTAAAACGTCTCCGCACCGGTACAATGTACAATGCCCTATAATAAATTGCAGTCTGCAGTTTGAAGTTCCATTTTAGATCTTTGAACGCAACATTAGAATGAAAATGAAATACCTATTACACATTCCCGTTGGTGGTTGTAAAGAATTTGTCTGGAAAAGTTTTTATTATTTTCTGTCTGTTATTCTTTAGTCGCACAGCACAGTAGCAAAACACACCGATAAATTTGTGAATTAGGTACAAAAATATTTTTCGCCGGCACTGGTACTATTATAGTGCTCTTTCCGAAATAAAGTTATAGCAACAGTGTAGTCTAAACAGACGTTTGAAGCAAGTAAGAAGCGGTTTATGAATGTTCGAATCCGGTTTTGATACTGAATTTATTTTTGGCCTGCAGTTTTTTCTTCCATTCTCAGAATAAGTGGGATCTATGATTCCGATCAAAGTATAGCGGACTCATGTAATAAATGATTAGCTAAATTAGCGTTTACTTTCAGTTCAGTTCCAGCTCCTGTTGTTAACTCTATAGTTACAGATTTTCTCTGCTCAAAGGCCAAACAATCGAGAAAAGCGTTTTTTGCCACTAAGGAACGATGCATTGTTGTTGTAAAAGTGATCTGTGAGATCGGATAGTCTCACAATTTCATATAACAACACACACATAAACGAATCTGACACGCAACCTTAGTTGTGGGATCTCGTCTCGGGTTCATTATCTGTCCTACACAATGGATAGTTTGAAATGCTCAGCAACACGTGCCCTGTCCATTAGTATCGCCAGAAACTATTGATTTTCCAATTGCAAACAATCTGCTCTTGTTGCTCAATGTAACTCATTAAAACATTTACTAATATAAGATATGACGACCTCCGTGGGCGAGTGGTTTGTACGCCGGGTTTCATGGTGTCGCCGACTCGAGAGGTCCCGAGTTCGAATCCCGGTGGGGGCGGATGTTTGTATGGTGAATACGAGCATTTGTATTCTAGTCATGGATGTTTAATATGTATTTCTATATAAATATACTTATATATGTATAGTATTGTATCCGTTACCCTAGCATCCCATAACAAGCCTTACAGTGCTTACTTTGGGGTTAGGCTAATTGGCGTGAGTGTTGGAAATATTTATTTATTTATTTACTGCCATGCCATGACTGTTAATTAATTATGCTCATTTTCTGTCGGTGGTTATCAATAATAAATATTTCCAATACACACCAATTTGCCTAGCCCCAAAAGTAAGCACTATAAGGCTTGTGTAATGTACATATTATATAAGTATATTTTTATATAAATACATATTAAACATCCATGACTGGATTACAAATGCTCGTATGCATTACACAAAGATCTGCTCCCACCGGGATTTGAACCCGGGACCTCTCGAGTCGGCGACACCATGAAACCCGGCGTACAAACCACTCGGCCACTGAGGTCGTCAAATCAATGTTATGCATTTTAGTATTTGTTGCGTTTTGTGTCTGCTGCGGGTTGGGGCATATTTCTGTTTAAATACGCGTTCAGTTTTGTAACAAAGGTTTTTTGTAGTTACACTGCAAATTGCAAAAAAATAATAGTTTAAATAGGGCAACACAAGTAAGCGCTTTCGTACACAACGATACCGCAATACAAATTCATAGAGGTTCGCACCAAAGCAACATGAACGACATGACCAAAAGGAGAGTAGGCATACATAGCCAGAGGGGTAACTGGCATTGGGCATAAAAAATGGGCATACTCGCGATATATGTGTTGCACTATTTGGTAGTGTATTGTGTCATTATTTATGTGTGAGTGTTGTAGTTACAGTTTTGTTTCTTACACATATACGTTAAACTGCATTTGTGCGTATATTTTCCCCCGCAAAAAATGTCAAAATGATTAGGATGTTATTTTGATTATTACGTTTCTATGGTTACTCCCATGGAGGTTAGAGAGAAGGAGAACGATCGCTGCAGAAATAGTGTCCCAGAAATATGGACAAAATAAGTGAGGCGCTGCGATCGCTGAGTTGTCTCAATAAAAGCGGGCTGTTGTGCGCAAATTTGATATGACCAATGCCGCGAAGAAAATTTGTACATTATTCAACTAACTTCATCTACTTGT